GGGGAGCGGATTGAGGGGGACTGATTTAGATTAGGTTGCCGCTGCGCAACTACTCCCCCCTCCTCCCCTCTCCCTTTCCGGGGTGCTAAACTTCGGGATCCTGGTCAACACACCGAACTTGGTGTAAAAGACACGACACAGGCTGGCCGTGCTCGCCCTGCTGGCCGAGCACCAGGCACCGCCCTCCCAACGTGCCCGTAGGCCTTTATCATAAACTCGAGCAACTGCAGAGCCCCAAAGTAATTGGATTTCCTACCGGGATCATTTTTCGTCCCAAATATGCGATAATCCAGTTCCAACCGCCCCTGCCGTGCCGTGCCCCCTTCCAGCTCCGGCCAGGCTCCAGTAGGGGTGGGGCGGAGTGGGGCGGGGCGGGCAGGCGGCATCTGGCGGTGGACACCCTGTGAGACGATTGGAGGCAGCTGTTGCACCGAGAGATGCACACGCCCGCTCGCTAGCACCATCCTCCCTCGCCTTCTCTCCCTCTCACACACACGCCACCCTCCTCCCACAGACAACAGAATCAACGAAATAACCCATCGAAAAAGGCAGTCTTATTCAGGACGAAAAACACAAACATTGAACGTAGTGAAGAGAGAAAAATCTGACGCAGTAAAAAGAGTTTTCATACGGCGCGATGATTGTGAGAGATGAAGCGCCCCGCCAGGACGACATGCATTCCGATGAATCATCGCTAAAAGCGGCCGCGGTCCAAGCGGAGCAGGTGCACGGCGGGAGCGAGAGAGTGAGAGGACGAGACGGAGAGAGGAGAGAGCGAGAGAGAGAGCAAGAGAGTGAGAGAGCGGGCGCGAGCGCGTGATGCATGAAACGAACTTTGTTCTCCTCCGCGCGACGGGGAGCAGCGCGGTACTGAGAGAGCAGCCCGCGCATTCCCGCGTCCGCTATTTTGCTCTTTTCCTTTTCACCGCGGCTATGTGCGAGAGCAGCGAGTCCCATCCGCCTGATAGCGTCCGACTGTCTTTCCCTGTCCGCCCGACCGTCCGCCGCTCATGACGGACGCCAAAGACTAGGACACCACTGAGGAGCGCACGAGCAACACGCTCAGAAGGAAGAGGGAGATCCTCACCGGGAGGCCGGCCGAGGCAGACGCCGACCTAGGCGGAACCCAATGGACCGCGACTGCAGCGGCGGCGGCTCGAGCAGGACCAGACCATCTGCTCCCCCTCCCCAACCCCGCCCTCCTTAATAAATCACATGACGTCGTGTACAACACGCTGTACTGCCCGCGTTACAAATCGCCCTCCGCGTGATCCCACAGCGCCGCCGCACCAAGCCAACCCAGCAAAAAAAATAAAAATAAAATGCACACTGAATCGGACGGGAATCACCCGCTGCGCTGGTAAAATGAAATAAAAATCGACAGCGTGGAGAGAGAGACTTGCTGGCCGGTGCGGTTGCCGGGCAGCAATGCGTCCTGCCACTGCTGCCCCACTCCCTCTCCGGAGGCCACCACTCCAGCCAGCAGCCGCTGGCCCCTGCTGGCCCCGCCGCCCTCGCTGGCCCCGCCTGCCGGAATCGGCGCGGAATTAACAAAAAGGCGGGGCTGAAACCTCCATCTAATCCCCTTCCGGCCGCGGACCAGAGGGACCGGAATGGGAGAGAGAGGGACGGCAGAAAAAAAGAGAGGGGGAGGGAAAGGTACAGGCGCGGCGGCGCGGTCACGGCCCCGTGGAGACAAATGGCAGGACATCACTCCATTGAGGGACGGGCCCCGACCCCGCCGGCTCTCCAGGGGGGAGAGCGGGGAGTGGGCATAAACCACCGCACCATTAAATCTCTTTACGTCCCTATTCCGTCGCGCTCACCACTCACTTCTGAGTGGGCGGACATGGATGAAAAGAGAGAGAGGGAGTGGGAGAGAGGCGAAGGGAGGGGAGGGAGAGGGAGGTGGATAGCGAAAACGAGCACAGGACGCATAAGGCGGTCGGGCCGCCTGGGAGATAGGCAACACGCATACAGGCGTGCATCGCGTGTCCCGTTTGCCTACCCGGGCGGGCGCTCCCCGCCGCCGCTGGCCGCCCGAGTCGGGTCGGGTCGCAGGTCGCAGCCCCGTAGTCCGCACTAAACCACCACACTCGCCTTCACGAGCCGTAGCGCGGTGACAACGCCGTCGTGTGTACTTCACAACTGCTGCCACAGGCAAGGAAGGAGGGGCGAGGCCAGTCCGGGTCAAACCAACCACACCAGAGCGGGCGATAGCGCTACTCGGCGCTACTCGTACTCGTCGTCGGCCAGCCGCTGCGGGGCCCTTGCGCTCCGGCTAACCACACCACAAGGGAGCGAGCCAGCCCCGAAGCACTGCTGCCGGAGCAGAGAGGCGAAGGCCGGGGCAGGGGAGGAGGGCGCAACGGTAGCAGGGCGCCGCAAGCCCCAGACACATCAACGCCGTCGTGCAACATTGTAGCGAGCGAGTCCGGCAGCGCGACACCTTCGCCTCCCCTTTTCTCCCCGACTACGCGAACTCACATGGACACACACACACACACACACACACACACACAGAACGCCGGCTGCTGCCGTGGCATAACGAAGAAAGATCGCCTAACGACAGAAAAGTCAGGCCGCTACCGACAGTCACCCCACCCCTCTCCTCCCTTTCTTCCCCCAGGGGGGTCGCTCTGGCCCAGACCAGGGGCGGGCGAGGCGAGGAAAAAGGGGGGGGGGGGCGCCCAGCGGGGCAGCAGCAGAGAGCGAGAGGGAGAAAAGTGAATATGAATCTCAATAGGGCGGCTGCCGGCGAGCTATATGCACACGGCTCTGCACGGCGCCCGCCCGGCATGGTGGCAGCGTAAAAATAGTCCCAGGCCGCCCCCCGCCGCCCGGCCCGGCCCGGCCTCGCCCCGCGGCGGTACGGTCACAGGTTGAGAACAATAACCCATACAGCATCATCTGGCCTGGCAGCACCCCTACTACTGGCGGCAGCGGCCCAGAGGCGCTGCTGCCGGTCACAGCAGATCGACCACAATGCGCCGAGGTATGAGCGGCGCCAGCCGGGCCCAGTCGCAGCAGCAGCAGAGCCTCCCGTGTGTCGAGCAGCGCTGCATTGTGTGGCACACCCGCCCGCGGTCACAACCCGCCGCACAAAGGCTTTAGCAGAGGGGCCAAGCGGAGAGACGGACGGGGCAGGTCTAGCAGGAGAGGAGGTAGGTGTGTGGGAGAGAGCAGAGACATTTACACAGTTCAAATTAAGTCGCATACTAGGCGCCGGAACCACCTCCTACCACACAACACACGCACAGAGTCGTAAACCGTACACGCTCCACGACGACCGAGCCCCTGAATGGGTCCTCCCTACACCTACCTCCCGTCCACACGGTAAGACCGGCACACAATCCCCCGGCACCTTCCCCCCACCGGCGGCCCAAACCTAGCTCGGCGCAGCAGCAGGCTGGACATCAAAACGGAATGCAGGCAGCACACCGCGCAGCACGAGGCAGGCAGGCTACGCCGCATCACCCATCCCATAACCCGCGCGCCGGCAGCAAATTTTAATGACTCGTCCATCCACGGCGAGGACAAACCAACCACTCCACCCACAAAGCCAGACGGTCGCTGAATTTCGGGGGTTCCATGAGGCCAGCAGGCCGTGCGCCTGGCGGTGTGACTGCCGCTGCCGCCGCCTGCTGCTGCTGCTGCTGGCCCTCCTCGTTTGGCTTTCCGAGTCAACAATTCAAACTTCCATGAAAGCTTAAAATTGCTGCGAGCCCAGCCGGCCTGCCTGAGGGTCTTCTCCCTTCCCCCCTCATCGCCTCGGCGCGTGACCGGCCCCCCAGCCTCCCAGCGGCGCAGCCATCAAAACTAAGGAAAACAATCGGCGAGATCGCTCGAGTCAAACTCGGCTCCAAATTGCCTCCCGCAGGCTCCGCAGTGGTTGGCACGGCGCGCGCGGCCGCCCCCGCCCCTATTTAGCCCGGCCCAGGCCGAGGCCCAGGCCCACACAAGGCGCGTTCTTCCAGCAGGGTAAACCTGCTCCACATCGACCGCACGACGGCAAAGCAAGCCCAGCAGTAGGCTTTACGAGGGGGGG